AATCGACGAATTGTTTTACCGGATCATCGCGAAATACAAATTCGCGCACCCCGCACCAGCGACATCATATCGCGACGCCATATCGTCCTCTCCCAGGCAAGCTTCGCACGTTTGCTGCGCGACGCAGAGTGTAACTACGTGCGTTTTAACGTTCGCGCATCCTTTGAGCATTTCGTCTTGCCGCGTCTCGAAGTCGTAAAATATAAACGCGGTGCGACCCTTCCGATCTGTTCTCACATCGTCGTCATTATCGTCGCTATCACCGGTCTCGTCGACATTTTCGAGTTCTTTCGCGTTGACCGATGCCGATACGCGATCCCCTCGAAGCGGCCGCATGAAACACAGGTGATTCAGCGGTTTCGACGCGCAACATATGCGACAATAAGCCGCGCTGCACGCGTGTTTTGCGCCCGATCTTTTCAAACGCCCGCAATCGCTGCAAAATCTCACGTCGCAAACACTCGACGACGATTTGCCGGCGTAAGATTTCGGCACGCGATGACGTTCGAAACAGCTCTCGCCGTAAAACACGCGGTTACACGCGTCGCAGCCGACCAATCGCGCGTCTAGCTTCTTGCACAGCGGTGCACCGAGACAACGCGGACACGTATTTGAGCACCGATGACCCGTTTCACGACGGTAACCCCTGTTACAGGGAACACGATAATATCTACTAGCCGAGGCGGCTTTTAAATATAAAATAGGCCTATAATGCCGCGAGCGGTCATAATACATTATATTTAATGTACACTTGGCTATAGGAGAACGAGAGGCTAGCGTCGAGTGTCCGTCATATAACGGAGGGACTCCGCGACCGAAACTCTTGAAATTATAAACGACAATCGCGATATTTTCTAGCGAGAGAAGCTGCGTTAAACGCTCGATCTCTGGGATGCCGCATCCTTCCTCGGGTATAACTATACCGGCGTTTCTCGTTAGTTCTTCCGCCAAACGTCTCTGCAACGCGGAATATGGGTGCCTTATGTTTTCCCATTTTCTATGAAGTTCGCCCGTGCGTACTGTGCCGCGTTCGCAATAAACACGAGCCACGACGAGGGAGCGCGGGAGACACATATTATCCCGATTATTTATATTTAAGATCGAGTGTTTTACCACATCTTCGCGCGTTAATTTATTTGATTTTCCCCCTCGGCCCGAAGGAATCCCGACATTGTACACAGTTATTAAAAAGCGTTCCGCGATATCGTGACCCCCGGCGTTCTGCGCTACAGAGCTTACGAGACCCCAGATATCCTCGTGAGTCAAGTCTCGCACCGGGCGAAACTACAAGCCGGCCGGCCCGCGTGTTAAAGCCGTCGAGGCGAAAGACAGCCCCACGTAATTGTTAGCGTTAGCGGAATTAACAGCGTAAGAATTGATTTCGCGGAACGCGTTTTCTAAATGTTTAGCGATGTCGGTGCCTTCGACGGGTGGGAGAATCTTTATACTAGCCTCTCGTCCTAATATATGGAAATTTCTAAACCGCCGCGCGTTTTCCTCTCGTATTTCAATATAATTAAACTTAACATTACCGCGCTTGTGAGGACCTTCTTTTTCTTCCTCCTCCTCCATAAGCTCCTCTCTCGCCGGTTCCGTTTCGGAGGAGGAGAGAACGCGTCCGCGTGTGCCTCCTTGTTGTACTGTAAAAGAATAATGCAAAATAATTAGAAACGCGAGCTCTGTAAAAAATATTTAATATTTTAAGCCATCTTATAACTTACGTTCAAATTTACTCTTCCGGCGTTAAATTGAAATACGATAATTCCTGACTAGAACTCCATACGGGGGAATCGGGAAAAATTTGTAATTCCGGGGGGATTTCCGCGTTACCCTCCCACAATATTCTTTCCCATTCCGCTTTTCTTTCCTCCTCGAGAATATATGATGTACGAACTTCCCCTTCGTTGGAATGGAGGCTAACCGGCGAGTAACTCGGTTCTAATTTCATTTACAATCAGTTTTGATTAAATTCGAACGTAAACTAAACGTAAATAAACATCTAGAGAATTCCGCGTGGGTTTGCGCGCAAAAGTTCTCACCTGCTAATGCTAAAGAAAGCGGCTCTCGATAGCGGCGAATGTTTTCTCCATTGCCCCCGGCATTGTCGCCGTCGTCGTCGCTGTCGGATCTATCTCCACCGTCTCCGGCGACGCTATCGCCGTCGTCGGTGTCGTCGTCGTCGTTATTCTCGTCGTCGTCGTCGTCGTCGTTGTCGGTGTCGTCGTCGTCGACATCCTCCTCGTCGCCGTCACCGTCGTCGCCGTCGGCATCGTCCGCACCGGTAGCGGCGGCGCCTAGCGTTTCGCTAGCCGGCCTCATTTTCGATGTTTTCTGAAAATAAAATTATACTTATATCGCATGAATCGATTTTAACATGGCAACTTTTGTAAATATTTTATAAATATTTATACCGTCTTACCTATGGGTTCAGCAGCGACGACGACGGGCTCGTTCACAAGCGTTTCCACGCTGCAGATGCTATCGAAATCCCATAAGTCGGCTTCCGGTGACTGAGCATTATTACGACCTAAAAATTATTTTGGTGTTAAATAATTTACCCGATAAACTGCTTTAAATCCTCTCTCCCCCGATTTGTACTTACGCGAAATTGCCTGACTCGGGTAAGCTGGTTCCTCCGCGAGGCGTTTA